TGACAGGGAATCAGAACACCTTTGTTTTACAAGAAATCACTGCAGTTACATAGTCTAAGCGCTCCATGTAACCAGAGTGGAAACTGAGGCCCAGAGAGACTCTGTGGCCTGCCTGCCTCGTGACAGACCTTGGACCACAGCACAGGTCTCCTGATGGTCTGTTCTGAGCTGCTCGTTGGCTCCTGCTGTCCTGCGCCCAGCCTGGCTGCTCAGAGCGTCCCGGTTTCCCACCTGGTGCTCTCCCTGGCCTCGGCAGTGGTCTGGCTCCCAGACCAAAGCAGTAAGGTAACAAAGAGCTGACACTGGAACGCACCTCCACACAGACCCCCACACCGAAAGCCTGTCACTACAAACTTGCATGATTCTAGTTTTCCCTTCCCCACAGAGCTGAAGACAACCAGGCAGCTGAGGGGAAGGCAGGTCCGGCATTATGCCAGGCACTAGGAACATTTCAGTTGGTATTGCCTGCCCACCCTTACTGCCTACTCCTCCCCAGAGCACTCCCTTCTCCAAGGTTCTAGAGAGGTGATAATCATAGCATCCAACCCACCTTTGGCCACATGTTGGGGTGGACATATGACTTGGCCACAGGAAGAACCTTATCCCCGCTAAGGCCATAATGAGGGCTCAGGATCCAAGCAGAACCAACCGGAGTCCTTCCTGGGTTTTATGGATAAGAGCTGGAGAAGGAAGTTCTATCCCCTGTGTTTCCCAGTTACATGAGCCCAGACAGTCCCATTTTGCTCAGGTTAGTTTAGATTAGGTTACTGTTACTTGCAACCCAAAGAATTCACACTCCTGCAGGCACATGTATACATTTTCTCATTTCATCTGTATAACAATCTTTTAAGGCTGCTCTTACTCTGTTTTAGAAGGGAGGAAACTGAGGTTAAGTAATTTGCCCAAGTCCATTCGGTAAGTACAGGGCATTCAAATTCATACAGTAAAAGGCATTCAAACTCAGGTCCTTCTCCTCTAAGCCCATTCAGTATCCAGCTATGAATTCCATATTCACTCAAGAAGGAACTCACTGCCATTCAAAAGCCAAAGATTCTCTGGTTTAAAAGGTACAAGGATGAGGTTTGGGAAATAAACAACATTAAACTAGGGTCATAGGACCTGGCTTCTACCTCTGGCTCAGTCCTATGACTCAGCTATTAAGACTCTGAGCAAGTCTTTCCACTTATCTGGGTGTTTGTTTTCCCACCTACAAAATGAGAAGCCTGAAAACATGAACTCGAGATCCTTTTAAGTACTTAACAAAAAAAGTCCATGGTTCTGCTTTAAGCATACAGATTCTGTCTTTACTCTACGTCAGGCAGGATGTGAAGCAGATTTCAACTTGACCGCCAGGCCCAATAAATGGCTGCCTAGGCCACAATGCTGCAAAGGATTCTGAGCCATAAGATCTACTAGGAAACTGGCACTGGCTTCCAGGGTCACAGGGAGGAAGAGAGAGGAACAGCTGCATTTGTCATTGCTGATAGAGTGTCACCTTCACAGAGGAATGCTGCAGACTGCACTACCGATGCGCACCTGCACAGGATTTTCACGGATTCCTTTGTGTACTTCCTTGGTTCCTCTTTGCAAGCAAGGAAGGAAAGTACGGGAAAGCTAACTGGTTTGGGGAATATAGCTGCGAGCCACTGATGAATATGTCTGAATGGCCTACATGGGGTGAAGGTAGGGGGCAAAGGGGAACAGTAACAATGAGTGTGGTTCTCTATGATACAGAGTCTCAGAAGATGCTGATAATTAGCTTAGGAGTTCAGTAAAGTATGATCACGCCCATGCGACAGAAGTGGAAAATGAGCCTCAAGTAAGAGGACTTGCCCAAGTCACCCACTTCTAAGTAGCAGAGCCCAGATCTGAATCCACATCTTCTATATCCAAGTCGCCGTGCTTTGTCCACTCCCAAGGTCCCCATTTACCTCACAACCTAAATGAGTTAATTAATCCAGTTCCCACTGCAAAGTGGCATACTCATCATTGTTTGGAGTTTTTCAGATACAGTAAGTTCCTCACCCCAAGATAGGAAACGTTGTTACTGTGTGTAATTTAATGGGTACACACCCCATTGAGTATACATGAATTCAGCAAAATTGAGCATAAGAGTTAAATATTTAAAGGAATGATGCTGAAGAAACCAGCCTATGGGGAAAAATTTAAATAATCAACACAGTTTTATTAATCTTAATAAAACCTCTACAACAATATAGTGAGATGGAAAACGGACTTTGTCCAAACTGAGGAATGAGAAGAACTAGAATTGAATCAGGTAATGTGCATCTTAGAAATGACAGTGAGTGCCTCGAGGAAGACACTCAACCAAAGGCATTACTACAACCTGCTACATTTCCTTAGGTCTGACGACCAGAGCTAACCCCAAACCAGACTATGTGCTCCTAGTACTGGGCAGACTTCTATGTATAAGGAATCCAGGCCAAACAAAGTAACAGCCAGCCTTCCGACACATTTGGCTGTGGCAAGAGCAGAGGACACCCCTCACCGGCTCTATACTAGCTTCTGAGGGGGAGAGGGTGTGGCGGGAATGGCTGCAAGAACAGGAGGTAATACACAAAGCAACTACCACATAAAAATCAAGATTTGTCAAAAGAATGCATGTCTTCCCTATGTCAGGAGGGGCAGTAGTCCTGAACAACGCAGCCTATGTCCCTAACTTCACAGACTCTCCAAGCCTTAGCACCTACCCACATCATCAAATACCACAAGTGACTTTTCAATGGCATGCAATCTAACCCTCTGACTAAGGCGCAAAGTTCTTCTCAAACATCTCTGACAAGCAGTCATCCCTCTGATTAAGTGCCTCCAGTGACAGGAAATTCAGCACCCCAGGGTCCTGTTACTGCCCCTGAGGCTCATTAATTCAAAAGCCTAAAGCATATTCTTATCACTCAGGGAAAGGCCTAAGGCCTAAACTTCCATAAGTCTTGCCATCCCAGCTATGCTTCTTGTCTCTACCACTTGCATATCCCCTACTCCGGAATAGGATCCAAAATTAGCACAGTGCTCATAAATCAGTGATTTCAGAGTTAGAAAGGGACCTCCCAAAACCAAAAAACCGTGACCTTCACATACCAAATTCCACAGGAGGAACCTCAGGAAGAGCTTGGGCAGACCTGGGGGGAGGTGAAGGGAGAATGTCCTAGTTTCCTTTCCTCTCATTTTAACCTGGGAAGCTCCTCCTTTGATCTGCTATAAACAGGAGATCAATGCAGTTTAAAAGTCTTCTGCTGTTTGAAGGGGAAAAAGGGAACATTTACAGGTAAATAAACTAAGGCCATAAAACTTGCTTGATAACCTCATACCGCTAATAGTTGCAGGGTTAAGACAACAACCTGGTCTCTTGGCTCCTTCTCTAGTGCTCTCTACGTAACATTCGTCCACCAGCAGAGCAAAGTTCCCACATTCCAGCCACACTCATATGCTTATCAAAACAATTCAATAACACTGCAAAGTGGCATATTCATCATTATTTGGGAGTAGTTCAGACAATATAATGTTCCTCCAAAAAAAACCATGAAATATTACTAATTTGTTTGCAATTTAATGGGTAGACATGCATTGAGTACATATAAATTGAGCATAAGCTACCTATCTCCACACCTTTGTGCATACTTTTCTCTTAGCCTGAGAGGCCTTTCTCCAGCCTCTCTGAAGATTTGTTCCAGGCATCACTGCCTCTAAAAGGCCTTTCCCGGCCCTCAAGTAGAACGGGCCACATTCACCTTTGTACCCTACACACTAGGAGGCTGGATGGCACTTGTGTTGTTACTGTCTCCCCCACCATTCCTTTTAAATTGTGTTATTCTAACAAGGTGCTGGACAGAAGGGAGGTGCTTAATAGATATTTATTGATGGACTGAGTGTCTTCACCTGGTCCAATCCCCTTCTGGTCCTCGCATACCCTCTGCAAACCCCTCTGCAAACTGCCACATGTTAATTCGTGCATACAGATACTCACTGAAAACCATATGAATGCCCACAAAGTACCAGGCATTGGACTGCATGCCAAAGAGAAGGAGATTTACCATGAAATTAATGAAGTTTAAGTTTCAGGGCCCCTCACTTGCCCCTTCCAAAGCTCTGAACCTCTTCCTGTGATTCCGTATCTTCATTTCTTAAAGAGGAGACACAGAACTGTATAAGCTTACTTCAAGCTCCACAAATACTAGATCCACCCTTGGGGCCAAGGATACAAAAGTGAACAAGGTAAACATTCTCTCCCCACTTAGAGAGTCTCCTGTTCAGTGGAGAAAACAGACAGCCATCTGTTCATTCATCCATTCAAAAAACATTCACTGGCCAGTGCTATGAGTCGGGCTTCGGGGTTCTGAGGTGACACCAGCACTGTTCCTGTCCTCAAACAGAAGCTCCCCGCTCTCCTGAACGAAAGCCTACTGTGTTCAGGGAACCGAAAGCAGTTTAGAAGACAGTAACGCAGTGTTTGTGAAAGATTACCCTAAACCCGTCTCAAGACCTACTGATCCCCAGCCAGAGCCCTGAACCTGCGGCAGGAGGCAAGCGGAAGGGAGAGGTCAGGGGAATATGATCTTTGATCTCATCGAGCCGGGGACCGCGGGAGGGGGAGGGACACAAAACAAGTAAACAGAAGAGGCAAATGCACTGTGGTCGGTGCTGAGACAGACAAGCAAAGGCCTGTGGGGAAGTGTCCCCGACGTTCAAGCCTGCAGTGACGGCGACCTCAACACCTCGCCAAGCAGCCCAAGAACTCCGCGGACAAGAAATCCTTGAGTTCCCCCAAACGGGTTCCCAACCCCCGAAGTAAAGCTGTTCCTTTCCCAAGACAGCTGGAGGCTCCCTGGTACCAACTCCCCTGTTCCCACTTGGGACCACTTTCTCCTCCAAGTTATTCCTTCCCACAGTGAATACGGGGCAGGGGCCGGGTCTGGGTCTGGGGTCCACGTCGCGCGTCCGCCCCCCTCGCCCGTCCGCCGCTTCCATAGCAACCAGCTCACCACTTCCCGCGCCCGGCCGGAGAAGTCGCCCTTGGGCCGGGGGCTCCGGCGGAACAGCTCGTCGCGGCTGCCATCGACCCCGCCGCCCACTGCCACTCCCAGCGCCTTGTTGCGCGTCTTCACGGTCTTGACGCTGGCCCGGAACAGCAGCGTGATATCCACCGCCATAGCGACCCACACCCCCGCTCCCCGTCCCGGCGGCCCACGTCAGCAGCTTGCGACCGCGGCGCGCGCCCGGCCGCTGGAGGACCGTTCCGGCTCCGCACGCTTCCCCCGCCAACGCGACGCGAGAAGAAAGGTTCCGGCCTCCGCGGGATGACCGCGGCGAGAGGAGAAAGATTCCGGCCTCGGCCCCGTGCTCCTCCCGGCAAGCCTCCGACGCTTGACCTCGGGCGGAGGTCCCGCGTGGGGCGCATGGGCCTGGGGAGCAAGGAAGTGGGGACGCCAGCAGGCTGGCTCCCCTCTTTTGGCTCTCCCACTTCCTAGGCACGGGGAGTGGGGTGCGCTGGAGGCGACCCTTGACCTCCAGGACTCACCTTGTGAGGGACAGACAGAAGCACGTGGACGTTGACCACCTGGGTGCAAGAAGGGCTAGGGTAGAGCAGGTGTGCGAGGCGCAGAGCTGGAGGCCAAAGGCCTTTATTTCTCAGCCTGCAGCCAGCTGATCTGTAAAATTAAGGCAGCACCTTCTCGGTGTTACTGTGACAATCGAAGGCGGTAATGCGAGTAAAGTGTTTTGGCGTTGCTTGGCTCGCAGTGGCCAATAAAAGTTACCGTTGTTCATAAGGACACTGTTGCCATTCTTGTTATTGTTTATGATGGGGAGAGTACAATAGAGGAGGTATCACGCAGAGAAGGCAGATTTGAACGATGAGGCGGAACTGATGCGATGAAGACAAGGGCAGAAGAGTGCCCCCAGTTTCTGTTCTTCCGTGATACACAGTTTTTAAATACCCTCTTAAGTTGTAGTAATTTAAATTAACCGCAAGTTAGCCAATGAGTTCTTTCTACATTTTGACTCAAGGCTCAGATTTAATTCACCTTCTCGTTGCTTTGTTTTTCTTTTTAAAGAGGCTGCACAACTAGAATGCGGTAAAACAGCAGTTGGCAAAGCGTGGTCAGCAAGATAAAAATTATCTTCGTGACACCAAGATGCTCCCTGCCTTTCGTTATCATTCTCTCACAAGTCGTACACAGTTGAGTTTTCCAGAAGCCGTGTGACTTGTGACATTGCAAATACGCTGAATGCAGAACAGCTGTCGTCTACTAAGCCAGACTTTAAAGAGGTCTGCAAAAAATGTAAAACCGTGCCATTCGCACTGTTTGTTTCTGAAATGTATTTTTTTCACAAAAGGATCTCATTTATGTTAATAAGTAATGGAATTATTTTTGTTTTTAAATGAATATTTTAGGTTTGGGTTTTAATTTCTAATGTGGTAAATATCAATAGATAAACATATAAACAGAGTTTGTTTAGGGTTCTCAATTTTTAAGAGTGTAAAGGAGTTCTGAGACCAAAAGTTTGTTTCCAATAAGTTTATGAGAAATAGATGTCATATGTACCTGAAAGGAGGAGGGAAAATGTTATTTAAAACCTAAACTGTAGCTACTTCAGCCTTCCTGTATGAGGAAAATAAATGTCCATACAGCTTTCTCACACCCACGTAGTAAGAGAAAATCAGAAAGAAATTACTAAACCTCTGCCAGTGATTCTGTATTGCATAAATGGCCCCTTGTTTTATGGAGACATTAATGAATCTTTGGCTATGCAAAGGCAAGCCTGGGGCAGAGTAGGAGGAAAGAGAATCAAATCGCTCTGCATAATAAAGTGAACGGGATTGAATTAGGGGAAAACTGGGGAAACCAGAATCCTAGGGGGAGCCCAGGAAAGGAAAAAGTAGTTCCTTGGGAAAGGTTTTCAAGTGGGAGGGGGCTGAGCTACACCAGACCTTCAGTGAGTACTTACTGCCTTGTATGAGTCCTGTGTTGGGGGCAGTTGGTTTTGGGGGTAAAAAGGTGGGGACAAAGGTCTAAGTTTTCTGTCTGCATCTGCAAGAGCAAAGAAGATTTTGGAGATGACACCCAAGTGAGCTCAAAACATCAGGCACTAAAACCACAAGTGACTACAAGTGCATAAAATTACTAGAAAAGTCGCAGAGATCTTGAGGAGGCTATTGGGCCGCCCACAGACCACAGGCTATGATATTTCATTGGGGTTTCTGTTTCTGGTGTTTTTGCTCTTTCAACTACAAAGAGCAAAGTGACTTCAGGTTGACAATACCTATTTGAAACTCCATAAAGCTGAGGGGCACAAGAACAGAATGTCATGGGAATGAACTACAAACTGTCCAGTTTGATGTAGTACATACACTATGTTTCATAAGTAATAATGTTTCATTCATTAGGCCATGAACTTTTCTCTTTAAAAAAACAAAAACAAAAAACCCAAAAAACCCAGTAAGACATATTGGAGTCCCTGAATGTAGCTCCCTATAACAGCACGCTCCATACAATCAGGATAGATGTACACATCATAGAATCTTTTGGGGACTCATAGAAGTCATTAAATGCAGCCTCCATCAAAAAGAGTGTATATTGCACGTCCAAATGCCCAACCCATGACAGACGTGCTATGTGACGTAGGAAAGACGTTATTAGGGTTTGAAGCCAACAGCCAAGAAAGAATTCTTGAGACGTCTTTGGTGCAAAAAGGTGATTGCATGGGGACAGGACCCGTGCGTGGGCAGAGAGAGTTGCTATGGGGTCATGAGGAGTGGCCCATTATATACTTTCAAGTTGGGAGGGGGTTAGGAATAGCGTAAGTCTCTCAGGAATTTTGGAAACAAGGTTTCCAGGACCTTGAGGGCGCTAGCTATTGTTGGGAAAAGGTCATTTATTACCATCTAATAAAACCTTAGTCATGAGACCCTTCAGATGTATATTGGTGGGCCATATGCTTGGGGGATGATTACTAACGTGTATCTTGGGGGGGAGGTTAGAGATAAAGGAATTTTCCAAAGGAATTTTATATGTTAAAGTAGACTTACAGGATCCTGGGGGGCGCAGGGGGGTGCGGTCAAGCTAGGATTGCCTTTTGCCCTTAGCAAAGTATTAACATTGAGGCAGTTGAGTCCCTAGAGGAATGTCACTCTGCCTGTTTCAAAGACTTGTCAATGGGCTGTAGGTAGTAAGGAAATTTAATAATTTTTCTTCTGCCTTTGTTTCCCACATCAAGACATACTGGAGTCCCTGAATGTAGCTTCCTATAACAGCACCCTCCATACAATCAGGATAGATGTACACATCATAGAATCTTTTGGGGACTCAAAGAAGTCATTAAATGCAGCCTCTATCAAAAAGAGGGTATATTGCAAGTCCAAATGCCCAACCCATGACAGATATGCTATGTATGAGAAATAGAACTCTGTTGTTAGCCACTGAGGTTTTTGTCATTGTTACATCCTCTAGAGAGGTTGGTTTTATAGCCCCACTAAGTGAGGGAAGATGGTAAGCAGGCATTTGCTGTATGGAGTGTGAATTCTTGCAGGGTAATATGGGCAGACCAGAGTTTTTGGGTCCGCAGGATCATGGACTTGCCACAATATATAGTAACTGGAGACCCTCTGTAGAAGTTTATTTTATTGTTCATCTCATATTCATGACCCCTCCCTAGGAGAGGATTATAGTTCCTGGACATATTGATGACTATCTTGGCCGGGTGATTCCTCTTCCCCATGAACAGTGACATGTGTTACAAATTTAGGAGATAACGTGTGGTTCACTGTGCTCTCTTTTCCCTCTGCCACGACAAGCCATAGTGTTCCAGTGTTTCATGAGCCTAGGTCCCTGAGTAAAGATGACATGGAGCACAGCCAACCAAGGATGTGTGCTGGCAATGAGAAGTCAACCTCTGTTCTTATTGTCTATGGAGATTTGTGGTTTGTTGTTACTGCAGCATAAAGAGCCTATCCTGATTGATACACGCATTCTTCACCTACCTTCCTGACAATGTTATCTCCCAGTGGGTAAAATGTGGAGAGGAAAGACTACTAGATCACACCTAGATCTAATCAACAGTGTTAGACTAACAGAAACCCTGGAGGATTGGCCATGCCATGGTAGAATTCACACTGAAAGAGGAGAGGACTGAAGAACATATATTTTCAAATTAGGAAGTGGACTTAAAAAAGAAATTCACTGAAAAAATATTTTTTCTCATGGGCTCTAGAAGACCATGACTCTAGGGATGGGAATCTCAAAGAATAAACTTTTGTTCTTAAGAATGAACATAGCCATAGTAGTTAGGAAATTTAATAATTTTATTATTCTCCTTCTCCAGGGTGCTGGAGAAAGTGGAACCTTTGTATGGTGTTGATGGGAATATAAATTGGTGACACCACTTTGGAAAACAAAAAATTAAAAATAGAACTACCATGGGGGTGCCTGGGCAGCTCAGTCAGTTGAGTATCCAACTCTTGGTTTCAGTTCAGGTCATGATCTCAGGGTCCTGGGATTGAGCCCCCGGTTAGACTCAGCATGGAGTCTGCTAGAGATTATTTCCCTCTCTCTCTCCCTCTGCTCCTCCCCCTGCTCAAGGCTCTCTCTCTCTCTTTCTAAAATAAATAAATAAAATCTTTTTTAAAAGGGGGGAGGCACCTGGGTGGCTCAGTTGGTTAAGCAGCTGCCTTCGGCTCAGGTCATGATCCGGGGTGCTGGGGTCAAGCCCCGCATCAGGCACCCTGCTCAGCAGGGAGTCTGCTTCTCCCTCTGCCTCTGCCCCTCCCCACCCCCCACTCATGCTTTCTCTGTCTCTTTCTCCCTCTCTAATAAATAAAAAATCGATCCTTAAAATCTTAAGAAAAAAAAAAAGAACTACCATATAATCCAGCAATCCCATTTCTGGGTATATATCCAAAAGAATTGAAATCAGGAGGTCAAAGAGATAGCTGTACTTCCACCTTCACTGCAGCATTATTTACAATAACCCAGCTTTGGAAGCAACCTAAATGTCCATTAACAGATGAATGGATCAAAAATTGTGGTATATATGTACAATGGAATAGTATTAATCCTTAAACAAGAAGGAAAACCTGCAATATGCAAGAACATGGGTGAACCTGGAGGACATTATGTTATGTGAAATAAGCCATTTGCGGAAGGACAAATACTGCATGATTTCACTTATATGAGGTATCTAAAATAGTCAGAGAGAAGGAGAGAGTAGAATAATGGTTGCCAGGGGCGG